CGGCATAAATATCTCACTATTTTTGGAAATGTGCCTTCCCTATTTGCAGGTTCAATTGCAGCACAAAATAAAACAGGAGGCAGAGCAATTTCGACAATGGAAGGCCTCTCGTGAGAAGGAATTGCTGCAGGTGCTTCGCTTTTCATGAACAACTTAACATAGTTCCAGCTTCCTTTCAAGTATCTTTTCACATATCTTAAACACAGAAGGGTTTATACGTCAAAAACAGATTTGCTTCAGTTATGAAATATGATGAATCACAAGCTGGAGTTAATAGCAACTGAGCATGCCTTAACTACTTGGCAACTATTTTTTAGATCTTGTTGAAGTTATAATGAGCGGGGTGCAGTACCATATAATGTGCTCCCATCCAACATAATGTCACACCATTGCATCAAAGTTTCTATCCACAATTTATCCAAAAGAAAAAAAGAGGTTCTATTCACCACTTCAAAGCATTATGTTTCTCAAAGAACTACTTTATCTTCTGGACTTTCTACATGGACATTACATTAGGATCTTTTTTCTCCCCTAATATTTCCTGTTGACCTAATCTTGCCATCTAATAGACACTTGAACTATTTTTGCAAGTGAACTTTGCCTTCCATTGCTCTAAAGAAAGTAACTTCTGCTAGTCATGCTTGTCTTTTGTATCCTTTGTTGTATTTTATTCTTTAATGCTTTTAACTTTAATATTCATCTTTTATTTTTCTTGAGCAGCTTAGAAAAGAGGGAAGGAGGAATGAGTACGAAAGGCATAAACTTGAAGCATTGAATCAGCGCCAAAAAATGGTAAGGATCATGACAGGCACAGTTAGTTTTTGATGATTTGTGCTGTAATTGGTTCTGAAGTGTTAGAATATGGGGCTTCCTTTTATACCCATTTTAGGGTGCCAAGTTGGTTTGCCGCACATAGCATTTATTCATTCCCTGCCTGATCTGGTCATATAAGCAATTCCTTGAAGGGCAACACAGAGAACTCTGACAATTGATGCAGTCAAGTTTCTAAGGGATTTTGCCCCATACATAAATCTTTGGGACATGCCTTTTGGCATGCTTCTTTTGCTACTCCATATCTAATAGTTGTTAAGGTTTTATCAGTTCATTGACCAACGATCAAACTTTTTCCTGCAGGTTCTTCAAAGGAAAACAGAAGAAGCAGCAATGGCGACCAAAAGGCTGAAAGAGTTGTTAGAAGCACGGAAGTCTTCCACACGTGACAATTCAGGTAAATGTTTCTTTGTGAATTGAACTTATGTTGATTCTTTCTTTGATATACTAATTGGTTGTTAATCTTTTCAGTTAATCACAATGGACATGCACCAAATGGACAGGTAAATGATTTGTAATTAAGCATTTACTCATAGTTTGTTACTCTGGGTCAGCAAATATCTGCTCAATCTAGTAGCATGTTCATAGATTGGTGTAATTCAGGGTAGCCTTCTAATCCTGATCAAAGTGACAGCAGTGCAAACTATGGTCTTAAAATATTTTGGTTACAAAGCAAATGTGTAGTATACGCAGATGGGAAATATGGAGTAAATTAATCATAATGGGTGGTTGAGGATGCAATTTTTTATATCACATGATCATAAAAAGGAATGGGCAACTCTAAGTCCAACATTGAGCTAGTTGTTGATTGTGTGCTATTTAAGTTTCATAGCTGATGTTGGCTATTTTTCAATTTGATTTTTGGATCTTTAGAGCAATGAAAAATCTGTGCAAAGGTGGCTTGATCATGAGCTAGAGGTAATGGTGCATGTGCGCGAAGTTCGTTTTGAATATGAGAAACAGACCAAAGTGTAAGTATCCAACATTTTGTTTCCCTTACACTAGTATCTGTTATAAGCTTTGTGAAAGTCTGATATTTAAATCATTGTGTAGGCAAACTGCTCTGACAGAGGAGTTAACCTTATTGAAACAAGTGGATCAGTTGTCTTCAAACGGTGACATTCCTCACAGAGTAAACAATGGACAGTCTAGGTATATATGATTATGTCATCTACTTATTTTTTATATTTTCTGAAAATATCATGGAATGCTGGGATTATATCTTAATAGTGAATCTTATGAAAAGAATGGAAGTGTTTCAGATAACTATGTTGAACTAATTATGATTTCCTTATACTTTGTCATTAGATTGTTATCTATGTCACCAAATGCGAGAATGGAAAGAAGAGCTTCCCTTCAGCACATGCTTAGCATGTCTTCAAATGTGCTCAAGGCAATGGCTTCACAATTGTCAGAGGCAGAAGAAAGGGAGCGTGGTTTGGTTGGTCGTGGGCGGTGGAATCAAGTGCGCTCAATAAATGATGCAAAGAACTTGCTTCAACACTTGTTTAATGCTACCGCAGAAGCAAGGTGCTTGTACAAACTAGAATCTGAATAATTTCCTTTTAACTTGGTCTTTCTGTTGCTGCATTTTGTTATCTGACGTAAGGTGCCCATATTTGAATTTTATTAAGATAAGTTATATTTAGCTGGTTAAATGCAACTGTAAATGTGTTCCTAGCCAAGATATTAAAAATACCTAGGCTCTCATTGTCATGCACTCATATGAGAAGCTAGTATATTTTGACACTATTTTATACAAACTCAAATATGGATGTCAGGGGCAGATTACTTGTTTTGCACATTCGGGCTATACAATGACTACACATACATCTCTTTATACTTATTTTACCCCAATGTTACAAAGATTTGTAATTTTAGTTTGAATGCTAATTTTGATGGTAACTGTATAAACAGATGCCAGTTGCAGGAGAAAGATTTGGAGATTAAGGACCTCAAACAGCAACTGAAGGATCTCACAGCCCTATTATGGCAAAGTGAGGCGCAGAAAAAAGAGCTTGTGAAGGAGCAAAAGATGAGGGAGCAAGCTGTTGCTATTGCTCTTGCTACATCAGCTTCGGTGAGATTACCATCTCTGCAGTTCACTTTTTGTTGTTAGGTTTAAAGTCTAATACACTAGTATGTTCTCATTTGAATTTAAGGCAGCACATCCTAGTGGTGCATCAAGATTTCCATAAGTGACCATGATTACTAAATATCCTTCGGAATTTTGTGTCTTTTTCCATTAGTAATGTTGGAACTATCAGCCTTGGGTGATCTTTTGAAACTTGTGATGCTAGAAATGGTTTTGTTGTCATCAAACTCAAATGTTAGGGATCCAATAACATTCAACTTTATAACGTGCCTCTAAGTATCTATTCGCATACCTAATAAATGGAATTCAGCAGGGGAACTCTCGCAGTTCATCAAAACACTTTGCGGATGATTTGAGCGGTCCCCTTTCACCGATGTCACTCCCAGCCCCCAAGCAACTGAAATTTACACCTGGGGTTGTTAATGGGTCTGTTAGAGACTCAGCTGCATTTCTAGATCAGTCACGAAAGGTAAATTATCTGCTCCATACCGTCTTTTGGATTGCTGTCTTTCTGCTTGATCAAGAAAGTAGAGATCTTGTGTTTGCAGATGGTACCAGTTGGACATTTGTCAATGAAGAAATTGACAACCATGGGCCAAACTGGAAAACTCTGGAGGTGGAAGAGAAGTCATCACCAGTGGTTGCTTCAATTCAGATGGAAATGGCAGAAGCCATGGAAACTCTCAGAATGGATCAAACACAGTGATGAGACAATCATGAGATCAAGGCCTCGTGCACAGGCTCTGATTGAACTGATATAATGAGCTTATATTCATCAGCGTTCTTTAGCCTGTATATACATCATGACTGGCATAAAGAATCTGCATGGCTTACAGAGAAAATAAATGCAGGTAATCTCCTTTGTTTTAATTTAATTGTTTGTTGACACAATGAAAAACATTGAAGTTTTACTCATGTCTTGGTATGGTTGATAGAGTTTCCTTGTTTCTGTGACCTTGAACCTTAGTTATGCCCTGATAGAGTTGATTCATTTTCGTGCTTTGTGACCATGAAGCGTAGACAGCTGAGCCATGCCTGACAGGCTATACAGCCAGCCCATTCTCCTGGACGATTACACATTTTGCTGCTTGAACTGATTCCACATAATTAACTCTTTTTTGTGGCTCCTGCACTGCTAGAAACTATTTCCAATTGACATTACAAAATACTTGAGGAACCTTTTCTGTCTTGCTTTGGTGCCCTTCAGTTGTAGTGAAGTCCTTGCTCAATGAAAATTTACATTTCTTAATATAATTCTTCTTCTTCGATCAATGCAGGCGTGTTGTAAATAGGGAAGAAGAGCACGGCGCTTGCCATAGTCTTAGCCAAGATGTCTAAACACGAAGTTTCTGCAACGTACTTAGCTAATGTTTGGGTTTCAATACTTTTGGGGGGTGAATCATCACATCGAAGCATGTGGGTATGCTGTGGTAGGCATCGAATGTGGTTGGAAAGTGGATGGTAGCTGACTACGCATGGTTACATATGTGGGTGTTGCAGTTCATGAAGAGCTTGACTATTTGTAGTCTTCTTTTTTATTGTTTAATTCTTTATCGTGAAAATGAAATTTTCCTTTGCCAAAGTTTTTGTATGATTGACCTTTCCAATTGTTATTTTTTTTTGTATATATAATTACGTCATCTTTTGATATTGGCTAAACTTGTTCTAGAGATACAACGCTTGATTCTATTTTTCTTCTCTTTTCTTTTCTTTAGGATGAGTGCCTTTTCTATATTTCCATTATTTAATTAAATTTTAAAGGAAGGTAATTCGAACTTCAAACCAATTATATATACCCGGCTACTTGCCTAAAATCGGCCATTATCGGTTGATGGAATTGCCATGATGTCAATGTTTAATACCGAGTAGGTTGGGTTCAGGGCAGGTTCTTAGGGCAGAGGCAACCCAGAATTACGAGTCTGGTTCCGGCGTCTCAGCAGTCCAGATTGTGGATTGCATCGGCCACGTTCCAACCTGTACCATTTAGATTTAAGTGCTGAGTTTATGGGTTTGCTGGCCTAAAATGTTTTGATTCGTACATGATCCTCGTTGCATTTGAGAATGAATGCTTGAGTTGAAAGAAAGCTTATGTCAAAAATTGCTAACAAAAGCCTTTGGTAAACATCATATAAAACTATAAACTATATCAGGTGTAATAAATGACATCGGATCGTCATATACAAAGAAGAATAAAATTCGCAGCAGAGCTTGAGCAGTCCACACATAAAAATTCCCATGGTTGATTTCATACCGAAACTCATTGTGGATGAACTCCAACAAGTATTTGCCTCAAGACATGTTGACGCATCCTATTGTAATGTATACCCAAATGATGCACTATCCTCCATCATTGCACTCTCCTTGATCTCTTGTATCATCTTCAACACTTGCCACATCACCGGCCTCTGCTCCGGCGACGTCAAGCTGCAAACGCTTGCAACTTCGGTGAGCATTCCAAGTCGGTGATATTCCCTGCCATCATCTTCCCTCATTGTTCTGACCCATTCCAGCATGTCATGGGGCACCAGCACCGGATGCTGCGATGGATGTTTACCCGTCAAAAGCTCCAGCAGGAATACACCGAAAGCATAAACATCAGACTTGGGGGTGAGCCTGCGGCTGGATTTTCGAATCTCAGGAGCTTTATAGGCTGCGGAATCAGGATCTTCAGTGGAAGAAGGGTCTGCAAGGACAGCAAGGCAGTAGTCTGTGAGACAGGCTTCGAACTCAGTCCCAAGGAGCACGTTGGAGGATTTCAAGTTGCCGTGGACGAGCCTTGATGCTTGGTGGATGTAAGCCAGGCCCTGGGCTACATCTTCTGCAATCTTCAAACATGATGTCCAATGAAGAGGCTTTGCCCTTGTTGATCTCGAACCTGTTCATAATCTTAGCATCAGTTATCAGCAATGGATTGACCTAAAGCTTCAATGAACCTGTTCATATTCTCCAAGAATTTAACTCATCCTGGCAATAATTCGATCTAATAAAATTAACAGAAACTGAAATAAACTGACTGAAGGCTACTGTGGTCACATTCCAGAGTTTTGACTTAAAAAAGACATCACCGTAATTGTCGGTTTCAGGACACTCATGTTCTAAAAGCTGCAGCAATTTTTTCTCACTACTTTCACTACTTTTTCGCCATAACTTCAGCTCGTTTAGCTCATCCAGAAACAAATGGTTGATTGGCCCAGATATTACCCCACTCCTCCCCACCAATAATCAAACACCTCTTCACAAACGTTGGCCCCACTTTGGTTCATTTTAAACCCCACAGCCGCAACTGTAACCAAATGCCATCAACTCGGCCATAAAACTCACTGAGTAAACTCAGAACCAAAGACAAAAAAGAAAAATTAAAACTAAAATCATACCATGAACGAGGTTGAAAACGCTTCCGTTGGGTTGATAATCATAGATTACAAGCCTTTCTCCTTTGGCTTGGAAATATGCTCTGATCGGCACCAAATTGGGATGTCTAAGCCCTCCAACAGCATCCATATGCCGCTCAAAAACTTCACCGCTGGTTACCGCCGTTTTGCCAGCATCCAATCTCTTCACAGTCAAAATCAATTGCCCGTCAAGCACCGCCTTATACGTGGTCCCCATTGTACCCCTCCCTAACAACTCAGCTGAAGCTCTCATTAATTGTTCCAAACTGTAACCTTCGACTTCTCCAGCAACAAACACTAAATTCCCACTCTTTTTCAGCTTTTGAATTTCGGGTATCACTATTTTTCTATCCGAAACTTCTTCAACTACTTGGGTTTTTGAGTTTCCTAGGTTTGAGTTCGTCACTTCTGATGAAGCTGTTGTTGGCTTTGTTTCTTTTGACTCTACTCTCTTTTTACCGCTTTGTTTTCTAACCAAAGCTAAAGCTAACAAAACTGAAAATATTATCAAAGCAATGCCGATAGTAAACCCTAAGACCACCCAGTTCTCTGGTGCTTCTTAGGTGATGACGGCGGGGGTAGAACTACAATCCCTCTGGTGGCGCCGCCGCCGCGCCCTGGGCCTCCGCGCTTTGCCCTAGCGGACCCGACGCTGAAGAACCGAAAAAAGGAGCACGTGAAGCGCAGGCTTTGTTGATGATCTCCCCACATAAATTAGGGTTCAACGAGAAAGCTGTCGTATTAAACTTGGATAAAGTCGGCGTGACCGGTATTTTTCCGGTAAGATTGTTGCCTGAAACGTTGAAAATAAGAAGAAATGATTGATTTAAAGGCGGAAGCGTTCCGTTAAAACGGTTCCATTGGAGCCGAAGGATGTTTAACCGGTCCAAGGCGGTTAAGTTAGCCGGAATCGGACCGGTTAAATCATTGTAGGAAAGATCAAGGGAAGTTATCCTATGAAGAAATAAGATCGACGGAGGGAAAACTCCAGAAAAATTGTTACGATCTAAAAACAAGGATTTAAGGTTGTAAAGAGAGGACAAGTCGGGGATCGGGCCGACAGCGAGTTGTTGTGAAGACTGAGGACACGGAGCTGGTCGAGGCGCGTGAGGGAGTTAGCGGGAAAAATGCCACGTAAGCCGGAATTCTGGAGGATGTAGCGGACGACACGGCCTTGAGCACATTTGACGCCTCGCCATTGGCAGTAGTCGAAGCGCTCGTTGAGCGCGTAAAGGAGTTTGTTATCGAGGTCGCCTTGGATTTAAAGGAGAGGATCGAAACGGCGTCGGATGGGAGGAGTAAGTTGGTTTGCGGAGGGTAAGTGATAGGCTTAGAAAAGCAGGTCAAGAAGAAGAAGGAGAAGAAGAGAGGAAGGAAAGCTTGGGAGTTGGCTTTGGGCATTGTTTATGTGTTTGGATTTTGCTTTGCTCTAGTTGTAGGTTGGTTTTCTCATATCCCTTTTGTTTATTGCTTTGGGAAGGAAAGGAAGCAGTGGTAGCAGCGGCAGCAGCAGCTGTATTTGGGTACTGGGAAGTCAGAGAGAGTCACGTGAAGGTGGGGAATGGAGGAATTTTGATGTTGGGAGATTATTGTTCTACTTCTGCCCTTCTCTACCCCAATCACCAGCGCGTGTCCTTCCTTCAAACTTTCAAATTATTTTTTTGGGGTATATACTAGAAAAGGACGTAACCGGTGGGAAGTAGGGACCCAGATGCATACATTATATTTTTTTGTTGCTACTAAAATAAATAGTGGAAGTTGTTGGGTGGTATATGATATCCAAGCACATTAATTGACATATTCAAACGAAAACAAGAAGGGATTCTGTTCTTTATTTGGTAGTGACTTAAATGTTTAAATTTTTTAATTGCTCCCAGTCAAAGAAGCATTTCAAAATTAAGCTAAAGAAAAAACAAAATTAAATATTATATATTATATTTGACAAAATTCATTTTTATTAAGTTTTAAATTCTTTAATGTTGCATGATACTCTCTTTGTTTCATTTTTTTTTGTCTATCTTTCTTTTTGGAATGTCTTTGAGTGACCTCATTTTTATTTTTTTTTAGACATTTAATATTCGTACTTTTTTTATATTATAAATTTATTTTTTTATATCTTTTCACTTTTTCATATTAAAAAGTATTGAACATCTATATTATATTTTTTTTCAAATTTTAATATAAAATATAAAAAAAGTTAAATTTTTTACTTAATCTCTATGAAAATAATAAAGACAAAAAAAAAAGAGATGGAATGAGTATTATAATATACTTTTAATATCTTCGTTCTAAATAACTAAAATTTTCAAAAAAAATATGTGAATAATATTAAAATTTGAGATGTACTACTATTTTTAGAAAGTAAAAAAGTTTTTTTGTTTTTTGAATACTCAAAATAAATGAAACTACAACAGTCAGATTCCGTACAATAACAGTATAATTAATGTATACTTTGGTCCACAAAATAAATCAAAGGATCAAAATAGTCAGCCGAAGTTAATAAGAGGGTTCCTCACGCGCCGATGGGAGAGCGTACGCACTTGTTGTTTGCATGGAAACCCAGTGTGATAAACCAGGACAAGCATTCGAGTCGGGATGAAGTCAAACGTTAGTCAAACAAAACAAGCAGCTTTCAAATTGGTTGGCCCGTGAAGTCCAAAGAGCCGGGCCACCCTAGGGGCTGATGGGCTAAGGCCCTGAGCCTGACGTTGCAACAGGTAGGCAACATGAAAAGAGCCAGCTAATTTAGCTATGGTTTCATGATTGAGTGAAGTTGTCTTGTAGTATTATTATTATTGCATTTACCCCCATACAATAATGAGGCATTATTTATTTTTAGCTTTAAGCAAAATTTTAAGATTAAGTTCTTTTTCATTTTCTTATTTTTTGGTGTGCTACTCATTACTTGGATTGACATGATCAATTCAACCCTACAAATATATATAACTAGTGGTTATCAATCTATTATTATTAGTATTATTATGTTTTTATATACACTAATTAATTATTTCATACTTACATCATAAGATCTTTGTTACTTTCAATTCATTGTTGATCAATTTCTCTATTATAACATATTTTTATGATACAACAAAAAGAATTAGTATTTAATTCAAGAATGGATATAAAGTTAAGCTCTTTAGTCTTGTTTGTTTGAAAGGTTAATACAGACTTAAGCTTTTTTGGTAGTGCCATGAATTATTGTAAGCTGTTTGGCCTGTTGTCATGTTGTTAGATGGAAAAGGTTGCTTTAAAGAGTTTAATTTGCTGCATTTGGTTAATATATATTGAATGGATCAGTTCCCCATGCATGCATGTAAAATATATTGCAGTTTAACTTATATTATTTGTAACTCTATGTATATATATATATATATTGAATGGTCAGTGAACCCTTTGGAAGAGCATAAAAAATGATATTGCTTTGGAATTCTTTTTTTTTTCTTTTATAATTTAGAGTGCTTCTATTACCTCCAAATGTTAACCAAATAAACAAGGAAAAAACACTTCGAAATGGGTTTTAAAGTAACCCACTTCTTAAAAAGGGTGAAAACGTGCTTTGCAGGTGTAAAAATGTAAAAAAAATAAAATTCCAAGTCTTCAATCATCTTTGATGATGCCATGGCGCCCACAATAGATAAATATAAACTTGTGAAATAAAGTAATACTAATAATTCTATTGTTGATGAATGATGATACCAAGGCAATCAAATCCCCCACTTATCATTTTCTCCAAATTCACGTCTGCTTGTTGAGAGGAAACCTTTCTGAATTATAAAAGGAAAATTCATGCTTCTGCGGCCTCCATGTTGTCTCCACTAGTAGTGAGTTGGGTGAATCGCAATGGGTTGTTTTTTTTTTTTTGGGTTAAATTAATAATATATTGCATTAATATTCATCATTCACAGGATATCTTCTCCTGACCTTTTTGAAAATCCCATCCCATCTGCCCCATCTTTCTAAGCTAACGCACTTGAAACATGTGCCTTTCTTATCACAACCAAGACCCTTATGCTGTTTCCTCTTTTGCTTGTTCTCTTTCTAATCTTTCACTCTATTTTTTTTTCTCTTTGCTCCATCTCATTGAGGAAAGATTGATGCTTTCTTGACCAAAGAGTGAACGTTACCAATCCACAAAGGTCATGTCAGTGTTGTTTTTTCATGCGAATTATAGTGGTAATTGGGCCACAGCTCAAAGCCTCCCTTTTCTCCCACTCAACTTTAAATTTTCTCGTGTTTTGGCCAAAAAGCATAGGGGATTGTCTTTGCTGTGTTTAGAATCTGTTCATTTTTTCACTTGAAAACGATGGCCAAGCTTTACGGTCGTGTTCCCACTGTCACGAGCAGGACACGAGATTGAACACTAAAAGAAAAAGAGCCAGAATTTTTGACGGTAAGACCCAGGAGGACACCCGGGTAGGCAACTAGAGGGGGCTCATTCAATGGACCACGCCCAAAGTGATTTGTTCAGGGCTTCATATTTTTGTCTTTGCAATCCAAAAGAAAAAACACAAGTTCCTAAACATAAAGCAAGTGGTCGACTTTACCTGTCCCATTTTTGGGCCATTCCAAGGATTGACAGCCCTTCCTTGTAGCCTCGTTTGAAAGGAAAATTTCAGACAAGTTATTTGATAATCTGGCCTGTTAACTAGTCAAGCTGTTGAGCCATTGTGGCGTAATTCCAATGCACCTCTGCAACACTGCATGTACAAAATGATCTGGAATAAAAAATAGGAACCAAAACGTGGTGGTATTGGGGTTTCGAGCTTGACGGATTGGGTTGGTGGGGTGTCAAAACATAGGTCTACTCCAAAATCGGGCTCACATTGTTCTTAATATTATCCCGTGAACTTTTCTAGGAATCCAATTAAACTGATTACTCCCATATCCAGATCAGCGGAATTTGGTATGGAAAAATATGGGCCATAAATAATACTTTGTTCATATAACTTTAAGCCAGACAGCAGTCAATCTGACGGCATATATAAAACCAGCAAAATAGTTTGTTGACGGAAGAATCAGTCCAAAAAAAGCCCACTTAATCTTATTTATAATGATGCGAATTTGGCATAATCCTAACGCCCAAGGCCATGTTTCTGCCAATGGGAATCTGCAGCAGGTGAATGGTCGCCTTCGATGGTAACTAATTATCTAAGAAATCGTATATTTTTAAAAAGGTTACGTGAGAACTAAACCTGAAATTGATGAAGCAAAAGCGACTTTTGGATTGTAATTAGTTATGGGGTCGCTACAAGAGTTCCGTCTACCTTCCCCCCCACCCGCCCCTGGTCCAACCACTCTGCTCTGAAAACCACAACAAATGTGGGATCAGGTTTTCACCATTCCTCAACAAAAATAATCATCACTACCCAATAAGATTTCAATGGAAACAAAACCAACCAATTTTAAAAAAATAACTAAATTATTTTCCATGAGGTTTAATTTGGTTTCTAGAATATTATTAGGTTGTCTGTAATGTCACTTCGTGTTGGCTAATCCTTTATTGCTTCAACCTTCTGTGTATCCTTCTTTAAATCAAACCACATTTGTCTCTGCTCTCTCAGGAGTCAAAATCTTCTCTTACGTTTGCAAGAGAGGAGGAAGAAACAGTCCTAAAAGAATTCTTGCTTTTCTCTAGAGCAAGAAAAGGGAGAAAGAAATGAAGAACAGTAACAGCAACACCAAGCTAATCCTCCTCCATCCCTATATCCAAAAACAAGGAAGCTCTAATAGATTATGGCTCCTTGCCTTCGTTTCTTTCTTTACCATTGCTTTCCTTCTCACACTTATATACACCAGAGAGTCAATTTCCGGTAAAACCATAGCCACAAGCACAACCGTGACAGGCCCCAGCTCCGCTGTCTCTGCCTTTGGCGGTGCACCGTTGCCAACAAATGTCATCAACACCCTTCTCCATTATGCTTCGAAATCCAATGACAGTTTCCACATGACATACTCCGAGCTCAAGCCAATCTCTGACGTCCTGCGCAAATGCTCCTCCCCTTGCAATTTCCTTGTCTTTGGCCTAACACAAGAAACCCTTCTCTGGAAGGCATTGAACCACAATGGCCGCACAGTTTTCATCGATGAAAACCGCTACTACGCTGCTTATTTCGAAGAGATACACCCTGAAATCGACGCCTTCGATGTCCAATACACGACCAAGATAAGTGAAACGAGAGAGCTTATAGCATCTGCCAAGGAACAGATTCGCAACGAATGTAGGCCTGTCCAAAACCTGTTGTTCTCAGAATGCAAGCTTGGGATTAATGATTTGCCTAACCATGTTTATGAAGTTGATTGGGATGTGATATTGATTGATGGGCCAAGAGGAGATGGACCCGACGGCCCTGGAAGGATGCAGCCAATCTTTACCTCCGGAGTGCTAGCAAGAAGCAAGAAAGGGGGCAATCCCAAGACTCACATATTCGTTCATGATTATTACAGAGATGTGGAGCAGATGTCTGGGGATGAGTTTTTGTGCAGGGAAAACTTGGTGGAACACAATGACACGCTTGCACATTTCGTGGTGGAAAGAATGGAAGAGAACAGCTTCCAGTATTGTCGCAACAAGAATAATACATCAACAAAAGCTTCATCTTCCTAGTTATTACTTATCAAAGTTCATAAAGATCATCATATACAGTTCCCAAGGGTCAAAAAATGGTATAAAGAGGTGAATATGGATTATTTATCATCATTTCAAATTTGTCTAGATCGACCTTTTTCTTGGGGTGGGGTGTGTGCGTAAAAATAATTTTTTTCTTTTTGGCAATGCAAAATGTAAGTTCATTAAGTTCATTGAATCAGAAGTTCCAGCGCTTCAAATCCTCATTATTTTAAATTCTTCCCCTTGTTCATTTTTGGGTTAATGTCAGAGCAGATGAGCACTCACAGTCAAATTGTGAACAGTTATAGACTTATCAGTCTATTGAATTCCACATTGGTTGAATTTATAGAGTTTTTAATAAAGTAAAAAGAGAGCAAAGTAGGGCCCTGGTGACCCATTTAAAAGGAGGACGGCAAGCCCAAGAAAGAGGTGACTGACTGACTGATGGAATTGGGAGCCAGATTGACTGTAGGCAGAAGATAATTTAGCAGTCTCTCACCCACCACGACGACATGTTGAAGTTCTAATCCAATTTGAAAGGTTACTGGAAAAACAAAGGCCAAATCTACTAGTAGTATGCTGTTCCCACTTCAAAACTTTGTTCAGGTCAATTCACTCTTGTAATTGACTGTCTAATGTCCATCATGCACCCAAGAGCTACTGGTGAAAATTATAGTATATCTTTTTTAGCTTGTACATTGATATGTTTTTGAAGTGAACTTATCATCCTACAAGGAAAAAAAATCAATAACTCCAAAAGACATAAAGATATAAAATTTTGTGCCATTTGCATTTAAAACACATGGACATTGGTAAAGACCAGAAATGCAACTAGTTGAGCTTGACTGGTTAGTGCCTAACGTTGGGATTGTCTTTTGGCTCATTGTTAAGCACTCTTTTATGAGATTCTTTCATTCTCGAGTCTTGGATCAAAATCTTACATATATATATATATATATATATAGTTTCTATATAGTTATATGTACATGCCTTAGTTTATTAGTGAGACCTATATTTTTTAGTGTGCGTGCATTGACCTAATTAATTGCACATGCTAATGCTTTAATTTATTTGTGAGATGTTTATTTAATTGTGATTTTGGTAAATTGCCATAATTTTTTTTCCTTTATATAAATGCCAACTCCAAAAATGTTTAAAAGTGCCTCAATACCCCTATTTATATCAATCAATTTATATTAATCAAATTAACAAATCTAAAAGTAGCCTTTTTTTTAATTAACAAATCTAAAAGTAGTTGACCTAAAATATTCTAATTAAATTAATTACAAATTTATCACTATTTTATTTTCAAAATTTTTTTGTTAATGATAGTGGTAGTAAAATGTGAGGTAAAATCCAAAAAGCCTCTCAAAATACTTTAAAAGGATATTTTGGTCTTTTTTTGCTTCAAAATTATATTTTTAATCTTGACTATTAACACCGTTAGTCAACAATTTAAAAAAATTATATCTAAAACTACATAAATATTTTAAGATACAAATGGCCTATTAAAAAAATCTACTTATATTCTTTTCCAAAACTTTATAAAATTCATTTTGATATTTAATAAAATTAAATATTTTAAATAGAAGAAAAAAATTAAAACTTAGAAAAATTTTAGAACAAAATTTGTGAATGAGTAGTTTGCCTGACTTTAATACTTAATAAAATTCAATATTTGACACAAAGGAAAAAATTTGAAACTTTTAATATTTAGTAATCAAATCAAAATATTTTTTACATCACCCTAATCCCTATTCTCAAAGAACAAATTTTGCACAAAAATTTTTCAACAAAATTAGTAATCACAAGTAAGAAATCAATCTTTTGACTCACACCATCAAATTTAAAATATCCAACATTAAACAAAAGATTTTCTTTTAATAAGGACTTCGATTACAACAGACTTTACTTCAAGAAATAAGTTTATAGTTTTCAAGGTAGATACAATTTCAAATTTTCAGACCTTTAAATCAAAATTTTCTAACTTTTTTTTATTAAGGCTTTTAAGGGAATGATGAGTAGAATTTTTAAAAAAGAAAATATGCTTAACTTAATTATATATGAAAATATTTATGTAATATTAGGTTTAATTTTTTTAACTATTGACTAATTGTGTTAACAGTTTAAGGACCAGAAACATCATTTTGAAATAAGAATGACCAAAGTGTCGTTTTGAAGTGTTTTAAGTGAGCTTTTTGGATTTTACCTGTAAAATGTGCATTTTGTTAGATAGAGTATAAATTAGTACTACATTGTACATTTATTTAGTTCTGATATCAAATTAATTATATAATTTGTGAACATTTAAGTATCAATAGCATAATTAACTCTAGCTTTATGTTAGATCTAGAAGATGTATTGTGTATGTGCATATATTTATTGCATAACAAGAGTTAATAACTTCAATTATTATGCCTGTTTTTATAGGTTGCAATTAGTGGGGGTGAGCAAATGGGTGAATTAGGTGGTTTGATCTGCCATACTTAAGGATTAAATGAACCAACATTTTTAAAAAATCAACCAAAAATAAAGGAAGACCAAACCGATAAAATATAGAATTGGTTCAATCCATTTAGTTTTGGACCAATTGAGCACAATTTTATCACTTTTTTTTATAAATTATAATATTAAAACTTATAAATTTCATCTATAATTATAAAATATGTAAATTATGTATACATTACGTATGAATATATATAATATATTACTTTATTATATATATGAAATTAATGATACAACTTATATGTATAATATTTTAATTTTATATCAAAATTTGTATAAATAATAACTAATTATAAATAATATGTTATAAAAACTAAGGCAATAACTAATAAAATTATTAAGTGTAATCATATAAATAAAGTTTATTATAAGTTATAGTAATGCTTATGTATAAATTAAATATATGTATATATAATATATTACTTTATTATGTACATATAAAATTAATGATACAACTTATATATTATAATATTTTATATCAAAGTTTGTATAAATAATAATTAATTAAAAACAATATGTTATAAAAACTAAAGTGATAACTAAAGTTATTAAACGTAGTTATATAAATAAAGTTTATTATAAGTTATAGTAATACTTATATAAAAATTAAATATATGTATATATATTTATATAATATTTATACAATTTTATATATTAATAACATTTTATATTACGAAACATTATTAAAGTATAATAATTGTAACATATTAATATGTAAGATATTTACTATCATATATTATAATATCAATATATAAATTATATCATTTAAAATATATAATTTGTAATTTTATATTAATACAGATTTATAAATAAATATATATAACACTAAAATTAAATTACTATGATTTTGATTTGTATACGTATATATAATAAACTAATAAATTTTAAGCATATTTTTAATTAAGTTTACTATCAATTCTTTTTAATATATATAAAAAATATTATATATTAATATATATATATATATATAAAGTATATATAAAAAATTAGTTTGGTTTTCAGGTAAATTGGTCTAAAATTTTTAAAATTGAGAATCAATCAAAAAATCAATTAGACCAAACATTTTCAACCAATTGATCCAATGAACCAATTAGACTGAATTGTTTTACTCAAATTACATTTGATTTTGATGAATAATTGATCTAATTTGGTTTTTATTTACCCCTAGCAATTACATTAATTGGGTTGTGTTTAGCATTGATCATTTCATGTTCATATTATCTCAAGTCAAAAGCTATATAATGATAGAATCATCTTTTGTCTTGCTACATTTCAAGTTTAAATTATTTTGAGTTTTAGAGCCTGTTTGGTTTTGGTTTTTGTTTTTGTTTTTTTTATTTTAAAAGCTATTATAAAACTCTCTTATGAAAAATAATAACTTTTGTTAAGTTACATCTATTTAGTAAATTTACGTTTATAAGCTCTATTTTATAGATAAACTGTTTGAAAAAATAACTTATGTAAGTCTTAGTTTTGATTAAAATTATCATAAAGGATATTTAATAATTAACTTTTAATTAATTACGAATTCTTTTGTTCACAATGAAAAAAAGTTAACTGTATTTTTTATTTATTTAAAATAAATTTGTGAAAATATAAAAAGTATTTTTATATAACATAAAGTTTATAATTAATAATAAATCATATAAAAATAAAAACAGAAAATATTGGGATTATTTTTAATAGTAGATGACATTTTTGAAACGGAAAGAAAATTTTTTCTGAAAAATAGGCATGTTTTTAAAAAAAGAGAAGAGAAAGCTCCTCTTTGGAGCTTTTCTTGAAGTTTTTTTTAATTTTATTTTTTAAAAAAATTATTTTTTTAAAGAGCTTCTCAAAATCTCTATTTGGTCCAACTTCTACTTTTAAGAAATAGATAAATTAAAAAAAAAACAAATCAAATAGACACTTAATTGTTTTAAATCAAGATTATTATTTCAAGTAAAAAGAAACGGAAAGATGGTTTTTTTTATTATTATTTTGAAAGGGTTTACGCAAGTTTCAAGTTTTGAACTACTAAATTAGTTTTTTTTTTATGACAGCTTAATTTTGGAGTTGATTTTCAACACAAATACTTTAGACCATTTCTTATGGCAACTAAGAGACAATGGAATGTTGAAGTCCCATATTCAAGACTCATCATGAGTGAAATTGATCCAATTTTATGTTAGAATTAACTATAAGCTGATTTGTTAATTGATTATAATTATTACATGTAAATATAATTTCATAAGAAATATGAAGTACCTACATCTTACTTATAAGGAATTATAATAAAAATATATTTCATTCTTTTCATACAGTAACTAACATAAATTTCATGAAATAAAAAAAAAATCTCTATCAATAATTTAAACTACTTACTAAAAATATAATTGCCCATATATTTCTTTTATGGATAATTCCATTCTTCATTACTTGTAATTTTTTTTTAAAAAAAATCCATGCAAATAGATTGATAATGTTGTGAAGTATAACATAAATAACATTTATGAGAGAAAAGTATTAATAAAGTAAGAAGTTCTTATTTAAGAGTATATATTTACAAATGAAGTAGAAGGTTTATTAATAGGCTAATAACTCTTATTTAGATAAAATTTAAAAAACAAATATAATACTAAGAGATTTGATTTAGATGGATTAAATTTTAATTTTAATTCAATCTAATTTACATTCAAATCTAAATATACATAATCAAATCTAAAAGTTCAAATCATATTATACTGCTATCTCTATCAATAATTTTGGATTATAACATAATGGATATTCACACATATATTCATAATACTATTCCATAAATGTCTATTGTATTAAAAATATGCCTTGTTAAAATCTTACGAAAAAAAATTCGAGTAAAAGAAAAAAAGTGCATAATTCTTTTTAAGAATATGCTTTTGATATTGCCTCATTATTAAGAAAAATTCGACGAAAAAAACCTTGAGAAAGGAAAGAGTATAGTGTGTATTGTACTCTCTTGATGACTGCACGATTTAAAATCTTTAAAATGACGCATTTCAATATTTTGTATCAACTTTTCAAATGTTGTAATAAGAAAAACTTTGAAAAAAAAAACTGCTAGATTGTCATTTGAACAAATTTGTTGAACACTATATCATTATTTTCTTAAAGATCAAGAGTGAATAAGAATTTTGATGAATATGTTTTGTCTTATCGTCTTTAATTTATCTTTCCTTTAATTGGGCCACCAGTGTCATCACTTAAAGATCAAAAGGGACCTTCAACCAAGAGAAATCAATTGTTGAAGAATGGCGGGAAGCAACTAAAGAAGCTGAAGGTTGGAAGAAGGTTCAAGGCCAAGTGAAACGATGTCGCGGAGGAATTCTAAGCATTTCAAGTTTGTGAAACAATGACCACCGGTGTCGTTTACTTAATTTCAAGTTTGTGAAACGATAACTACTGGTGTCATTTACTTAATTTTTTAAATTTTCTGGCTAAACGCTCTTCATGAGCGTTATTTTGATTGTATAGGCCAACGGTCACCTACTTGTTATTTTGTTTTAGTTTTTTGTTATGGCTGTTAGAGAAGCCGTGATCCGATTTTGTTGAGTTTTTCATTTTTCTAGCTACACCTACTCCACTCATTGCAGTGTTGAACCTAACGATTTGGACGCAGGGGATACGAAAGGCTTAAAGAAAATATAACCAAAGGCGTGCCTGACTTGCTGGAAGCTATCGATGTAGGTGAATAGTACAATTTGTATGTCATTTTTAATCTACAACTCATTAACATTTTGTGTCATTTTTTTTGGATCACAGTTCTATAAAGAAATAAAAAAGGGGACGTATGGAACTTATGGAGAGATTATGTCAGGATATAACCAATGGTAAGTGGAAATCAGTGTCTTACAATGATATACTAGGGTCAATAAAATTTTGTGTTCTAGTTATATTATATCTTATGATCCATTTATTTTTTTAGGCCACAAGATCCTCCAAACTTCAAAACGACGATGGAGGAGTATTTCAGCCTTTGCACAGGCATGATTTTGCCCTGGAAATATCGATTTTCTTTTCTCTCCAATGTCTAAGCTAGCTAGTTGATCAGGGCAGACTAAATTTAATTATGGTTTCCTTGTCAATTAGATCTTTCAAGAAAAATTATGCGAGGGATAGCTTTGGCACTGGGAGCATCACCAGACGAATTCGAAGGTGAAAGGGGTGGAGATGCATTTTGGATGGTTCGTCTGAATGGTTACCCTGGAATTTCCCTTGTAGATGGTCAAGACATGCAAGAAAATGAGATTGGTTGGTATATGTCTTAATTTACTTTAATCTTTTTCTCTTTGGTGTTATATTACTTAGGCTCTTATGACTTGAAATTATTTTCTAACTTCTTTTTGTTTTTTCTGACTGCCTCAGTGGGATTCACACAGACTATGGTAAACTTTCTCAAGTTTAGGTGACTAATTAGTAGCTCAATAATGTGAGTATCATACTAGTATTTAATACATTATCTTTCACAGGTTTGCTATCTCTGATTAATCAAGATAATGATATCACTGCACTTGAGGTACCCTCATTATAACCCTATTATTATATTATATCATATCCATCTATAAACTCCTTTGAATTTTGGGGATTTTATTTATTTGGTACAACATAGTTAAAACTCAAAAACTAAAAAAGAAGGCTAAAAATTGAAGTTAAATTCTCTACCTAAATCGCTCATCTGTTTGTATGATTAAAAAATTTTCTTTGCCACAATGAAGGTGAGAAACCTTTCTGGTGAGTGGATAGCAGCTATTCCAATTCCTGGAACGTTTGTTTGCAGCGTTGGTGACATGTTAAAGCTTAATTATGTCTGGAAGCATGAGCAATCTAAATTGATAAATTAAATAAAAAAAATCCCATGTCCGTATTAATTGTTAGTTATCTAGATATTGTTTTCTTTGGAAACAGTTGTCTAAGCATTAATTGCAGTGTTGCCTCTGGGGTCTCAACTTATTGGAGTCATGCAAATATACAGTCACTTCAAGATTAAAATAAGCCTTTTTCTTTCTATAGAAAGCATTTGGTATCCTTTTCAAGATTATTATAGTGATCTAATCATAATCATAAAGTGATTTAAGATCATCGTACTTGAAATAATTTACTTAATAATCATGTGATAAGATTATTATAGTGATCTAATCATAATCATATAGTGATTTAAGATCATCTTATTTGACATGATTTTACTTAATAATCATTAATCAGTAAAAATTAAAGATCATATTTGGTATCGTACAAAGAGCAAATATCATTTTAAATAAAATACCAAAATAAACTGTTTAAAAGTTAATAAACTAATAATTTTAATATTCTGTTAACATTATAAGTTTGAAATATGTTATAATTAATCAAATCAATAAACAAATATAAAAAAATATATTTATCTTTTATAAAGTAATTTTTCAACCTTTTAAATTTGACTAGAAATCTTTGAATAGGAACATTAAATTAATTATAAAAATAATAATGAATTTGCTACCAAAACAAAGATTATATACATAACAAAAGAACATATATATTGGAATAAATATGTAATATATATATCTTTTGAGTTGGTCAAAGAATATTTGATTGAGTAAAACCTTACCATGTAAAAATTATTTTTACTTTAGAAGGAAGTAAGGTAAAATTTTCCTAATTAATTTACAAATTAGTTTGATAAAAAATGTTTTTTCTGCTTTTTAGATGGGAATGCAATCAGCTAATCACTCTCGATAAAGATCGCTGTCACGTACCAAACATGAATGATCTAATCATTGAATACAAATCATTCTAAATTTTGAGGTTATCATCTCATAAATTCCACCTTAACGTAATCCGACACGCGTGCTTGATAGTGATCCATTCAACCTTTTTCTTCATTTATCTCAAAATTTGAAAAATCAAATCAAATGGCAAATGCAAATTTACCAGGCTAAAGAGTCCAAGATCAAATCACATTTTCATTGTTTTCCTGTTAAGATACAAACATTAATGTTAATAAATCTTGAAATATTAAAAAAGTAGATTATAGTTTCATCGGATTATCAAACATGCAATGATAAAATAATTGAAATAATGCAATAAAGGAGGGGAAAAAATTTCAGCAGGCTTTGTCCAATGCTAACTCTTTTAGCCGCCTCTCCCTCTTCAGACTTTCCAGAACCTTGACCAAAATTTTCTCATCCAAATCTTCCAGGGGACCTTACTGTATCTGAAACGTCAGCCTGTGACATAACTATGGACTCCAAGGGATTAAGCATCGTCGACTTGGTGTTAGTTACACCAGTCTTTCAAGCCAAAGGAGGTCTACTGAGTGTTGATCACCCAAAACCTTACTCATGCATACAATATTATCAATATTTCAATATAAATACAAAGATATCTGTCAAAATCGTAGAAAAAAAAAGAATTCATCAGGAAAACAGAAAAAAAATCCAAGACAATAATTCAGATGCATGCACCAATATTGTTTGGTACATTCATGTATCAATTTGTATTGGACCACTAAGGAAGGGAAATTTTATTGTGCCACTGTAGAGAACAAAGCAGATAATAAGCAGACGAGACAACAAGCTGGATCGAAAATTTGACACAAAATAAAGGATGAAAAGAGAAAAAAAAAATCAAAACACTGATGAATTATTGACCCAGGTTATGAAAAGTTTTTCCATTGCAAAAAACCGAAAATAAAGTGTTTAGCTCTGAAATTTGACCAAATTCTTCTCTGATACAATCATCTCAGAAAATAAAATAAAAAATAACAAGCCATCGAAACTGTCATGATGCATAAGATATGTATATGCTTTCTGAAAAAATCGATAGACAATCGTTTTCGATCCAATCCCAAGTCCAAAACAGTAGAGTTAGAATCCTAGTCAAGCAGATGTCCAATCTCAAACATGTTTATCACAATCTGACAACACCCGAGTTGTTTAAGAGGCTATGTACCTTTTCATTGGTTCGATAAGCTACCTAAGGAAAGATTAGTCTCAATCAAAACAAATCCTAATTAATTAACAACGTTGTTAGCCAAATAATTAATCACATGCAATTATTTGGTATATTGGCGCTTACTTGGAAACAAGTGGATAAATCTATGTGGATAGCCATTTACAGATTGTCCTCATGAACTTGATGGGTTTGGATCAATTTTAGAATGGTCTCTTAGTTCAGTGAATGGTCTCTCATCTAAAATTTTTAGCATACACACTTTTAAGATGGTAAATGGTCCTAAACACCCCACCCATCCTAAATCCAAAGATTGGATTGTAAAATCAAATTACGGGTATACAAAAACAAGTTAATTATCTACAAATTATAAGATTTGGGAGTTTAGTAAGCTAAAGAGCTATTTACTTAAATGATTTATATCCAATACAGATAAAATAGATAAATATATAAATAAGCGATCAATAACAATATTTTTTTTTTGGAAAATCAAGAGATTTTATTGCAAAGGAATGGAAAAAACACCAACAGAGTGTTAAGTGTTATGGGCTTGAAACTTTAGCCAAGTTTCGTGTGGCACTACAGTCTCGTGTTTGCAAAATTAAGTAAGCCTAAATAAAGTTTCTTGATGATTGAAGCGGAAACGTAAAGTAAATAAATATGAAAAATAAGATTGAGAAAAATAAATAAGTATTATTGCTCCAATGATGAAAAACCAAAATACCTAAAATCTAAGCACAAAGTAAATTGCTTGATGAAAAGAAAATTCTATGTAAAGTAGCTATTTATAATAGCCTACTTAAACTAGCTTGGTGTGCAAGTAAAAGTAAATATAAAAGTATCGAACCTAAACTTCTTTGGAGTATAAAAAAAATAAAATCTTAAAACTATGCCTTCTTGATTAACAAGGAAGACTTTATTTTTGAAAAATATGCCTCTTTAGAATACTTTACTTGGCTCTCAAGGCGACAGTTGATGGACCCCCTGCATGTGGACTAGTTCAATAGTCCATACAGGCTAGACTAGTTACGAATCTTTGGACTGTGACATTCTCCTCCACTTGATTTAAGCAACGCCCTTATTGTCTCGTGATCTCTTTTCACCACAATCTTCATCAGGTTCCCCACAAGTGTCATGGGTGTGTTTAACATAGTTTTTCTCCAACTATCTCAAGAACACTTTTAAGTTAGGATGTATTTTGCTGTGTGGATTACTGGCTTGCGATTGACTTGTGTGATCCAAGTACATAGCTCCTATGTGCGCAGTGTCTCCATTTGTGATACACACAGAATTTGAGCTTGACGTGTAAGTAATGTCAAAACTCAGTGAATCAAATCTCCTTTGCCCCGTAAGGAAGTCGTGGAACATGTCTTCCTAGTACTTGTTTGCCATCAATTCATCCAGTCCCATATTGTGGCGAATTAATGAATCTACCGTGTTGTGCCATCCTTTGCGAAGCTCATCGTTATTGGATTTTAGCTGCTTAATACTGTCTTCAACCTGTTTGAAGTTGCTCCAAACCTCGTGATTGATAATTGTCTCACAACGAGATACGCAGTTATCCAGTACTTGCAAGATATCCTCAAACTCGTAACGTTTCGTGATACGTGTGTGCACAGTTTTCCTATTTGCAACACTCACACTATCTTAAACCAAGGCGTTCAAGTGGGATGTGGTTTAGTCACAAATTGATGTCATTCTTTCCATCAATCTTCAAACTGTGTTATACTTAACTTTGGAAAATGTTCCTTTATTTTCAATTGTCACAGGCTTGAAACTTTAACCAAGTTTCGTGCAGTGCTATAGTCTTGTGTTCATAAGATTAAGTAAGCTTAAATGAGGTTTCTTGATCATTGGTACAGTAGCGTAAAATAAATAAATATGAAGAAAGATATTGAAAAGAATAAATAAGTATTTTTATGCCAACAAGAGAAAAATAAAGTACCTAAGATCTAAGTACAAAGTAAATTGTTTGATGAAAAGAAAAGTCTACCTAACCTAAACTTGGTGCGTAAGTAAAAGTAAATATAGAAGTATCTAACCTAAACTACCTTGAAATATAAGAAAAGTAAAGTCTTAAAACTATGCCTTCTTGATCAATAAGAAAGATTTATTTTTGGAAAGTATTCTAATTGCCTTATAATACTTTGCTTGGCTATCAAGGCGACAGTTGATAGACCCCTGCATGTGAACTGATTCATACGGATTGAACTAATTATGGATCTGCAAACCATGACAGTTGATCCATACCCAGAATTACAACCTATGCAAGATGCCACTAGAAAAATCAAAGGAATCTAGAGGCAGAACACTCTATAATAGAGGGCATTAAACATAAAAACCAGAAAACACCAGAAACAAAACAACAAGACCTCATGTATGAAATTAGAATGAAAAATCAAAACAGAACACCAGAAAATCAACACCTAAAAGAGAACACTCCACCCAAAAAATAAAAACAGAACACCAGAAAAATAAGAATGATATCAAATATTAGATGAATAAATGAATCGTAATGTGCATGTATGAAATTTTTTATAATGCTCATGAATTTAATACAATATTTGAATGTAATTTACATTTATGATAATACAATATTATTATTTAATATTAATTTTGAATATATTATAAAATTTTGAATCAACTCTAAACCTCATTTGCATTTGAACATTTAGCTTATTGGTTAGTGTATGATTCTCTTACCTAAAGAACATGTTCGAATCTCTCCTTTCTAATTATAAAAAAAAATAAATTCTAGACCCCATTTAGACCATGCTCAACCCTACTTGCAATACATTTCCTTTTCTTTTTCTCTAAATGTTCCTTTTCTTTTTTTTTTTCCTCCCTAAATCTTTTCTCACCACTGTAAGGAAACAGAAATACAAGAGAATTAATCTGAAGCAGCCCCACTTCAGTATATAAAATATTACTCCTTTTGTGTCCTAAAAACGGACATGTGTCACCAGCTGATGAGTCTACACGTAATTCTTATTTAATGTTAGCAAACGTTAGGTATGCCATCAATATCAATTAATTCTATATATAATTGTTTATTTATTTTCAACACCAAAAGGTTTTTCCTATACAAACAGCACAAACTAATAAACAAAAGCATGAAGGAAGAAAAGAAAATCTACAATGAAACTAAAGGAAGTAACAATTAAACATAGATATATTCACAAAAAAAAGGAAGAAGAAAAAAGGAATATTTTTCTTCAAAAACAAAAATTCAAAGAGCACATACCTAAGTCAGGTCACATCTATCCGTCTATAGATGAAAATTGTGGCGCAGACAGAAAACGATGACCGAACAGAGAGTCTTGAATTCTCTAGACGAGAGGTGCATTGAAAGAACAAACAAAAAGCAGCAGAGATAATATATGTCTTCTTTTTTATGTCTAATATATATTGTGGCCACATGCTCATGCCTCGGTGCTCGTGCATGTGCATGTGCCCGTGCATGTGTCTGTCCAAGATATATTAAAAAACCATAATCAATGAAACATAATTGAGGTGATTAGCTAAGCCAATATGTTGTGGGGCTAACTGAGATCTTCTGAACAGACCAAATTGATTTGAAAAAATAGAGAAATAAGTATCTAATTGGAGATTATATATAGATCCCAGATGGTTTAAAGAAAATAAGAAATAGACAAATAAATCAATTCATAACTTTTGAGAGTAAAAATATGATAATATTATAAACTTTAACATAAACTTTTGTTGGAATCGAATATCCAGTTTTCTCTGTTCGAGTTCAAATTTTCTAGCGCAATTTGTTGGTACGTCGACGGCTATTTAATATGTTATAGTTTCGTCTCAATTTGAAATTGAGCACGTGACGCGGCGGCTCGACGAACGTATTTTTGGCGTATACCTGCTTCCATTTGTCTATATATTGGACGAGGAAACTCGGGTTTTTTTGTAGCATCATAAGCTTAGCTAGCTAAAAGCAAAGCTACGATTGGAACTGAGAGAGAGGCAAGAACACTAGCACCAGCAAACATGACCACTGACTTCAAATCCATCCCAATCATCGGTAATTTCATTCCTTGCTTCTCAAATTATTTTCAATCAGAATGGGGTTTGTATTACTATTTCAATCAAAACGCAAGAAAATGTGGTAATTGAATTCCTTCTTAATTTGTTCTTTTTGGTGTTGGGAAACAGACGTTGGTCCTCTTGTGGCCAAGGGGGATGATCTGAAAATGGGTCAAGACCCAGACGTACGTGAGGTTGTCAAGCAACTGGATCAGGCTTGCAGGGAGACAGGATTCTTCTACGTGGTACTTTCCCGATTGCTCTTGTCATGATCAGCAAGCAACTCAGCATACATATCCTGCTATTCTTAATCCTCTGCTAATTAACAATATCGGAACATGACGCCCAGGTTCTCATCCTGGACTATAAGATAACAAATAGTTGCCCTAATATCAAACATTTTTATGTGCTCTTAATTATCAAGGGAAATGTTCCAAGATAGCCTCATATGTTCTAATCTTATTTAAATTGTTATGCTGATAATAGAAAGGTCATGGTGTTCCGGAGTCCCTTATCAATGAGGTCAAAGATGTGACTCACAAATTCTTTGATCTTCCCTATGATGAAAAACTCAAAATCAAAATGACTCCGGCTAGTGGATACAGGTTAATTTCTTTTGAAATAAAATAATATATATATTTTTAAAAGCTATTGCTAAAAATGACTTAATAAATGTTTTAAATGCTACAGGGGCTACCAAAAAATCAAAGAAAATATAACCAAAGGCGTGCCTGACTTGCAGGAAGCTATCGATGTGAGTATTCGCATAACAATATGGTTGTAAATATTACAGTAAAGAATAAATTTCCCTTAGATAATTTATCATTAAATATAATTATAATTCCTATAATGAAAATTTTTAATCAGTGATTATTGACACTGATTAAAGTAATATTTATAATTAATATATTATCTCTCCATTAAAATTATTATTTCTTTTTTTGTATTAAATCATATCTTTGTTCTGTTATTATTAACTTTATGCATGACATGTTTTTTTATGACAGTATTATAGAGAAGTAAAAAGAGGGATGTATGGATCACTTGGTGAGATTTTGGAAGGATGTAACCAATGGTATATACAATTAATTTATTTTGTGTAGTGCATTTTAAATTGAATTTTCTTGGATATTATCAATATGTATGTGGTATTTTCCCTTTCTAATCAACCGTTTTACTCTAGGCCACAAGATCCTACAAACTTCAAAGCTTCCATGGAGGAATACGTGAGGCTTTGCACAGGCAAGCTTCTTCTGTGTGCTCCAAAGATTCATTTTCTTCTGCTTTTCATACAGTACGAACTCAACTAGTCATCTCCGATCTTTAAAAACTTTGATTTGGTAAATTTGTTGGTGCTTTATCAGATCTTTCAGGAAAAATTATGAGGGGAATCGCCCTGGCATTGGGTGGATCGGCTGATGAATTTGAAGGTGAAAAAGGTGGAGATCCATTTTGGGTCATGCGTCTTATTGGATACCCTGGAAAATCACCAACAAATACCCAAAATAATGACATTGGATGGTAATCATCAATTTATTAAAAAAAATATGCAAATCAATTAAAGCTTTCTTCATTTCATCACCGCCCGATATTAACCTAGGCTATTATTATGAATATTAATTTCCTTATTTTTCTTGTTTTTTCTATCCATGTCTTTCGACCAAACAATTCCAGTGGGATTCACACTGACTACGGTAATTAAATCCGTCAACTTCAGTAAGACTATGAATAAATTAAGAAATAATTATAATTATTACTCTCAGTCTCATTATCATATTGTTACAACAGGTTTGTTGACCTTGATTAATCAAGATGATGATATAACCGCACTTGAGGTAATCTATACTATCTTACATATATATGAACTCTTCGATTTAATTACGATGAATTAGGGAAAGTTCTCTCTAACTCTCTGTTGTTGCAGGTTAAAAACCTATCTGGGGAATGGATACCAGCTACTCCCATTCCTGGAACATTTGTATGCAACATCGGTGACATGTTGAAGGTAAAGATGAACTTTTTTATATATTTCCCATTGACCTTCGTTGGATCATACTTTACAAAGCCGGGAGGTATGTTGCAGATATGGTCCAATGGCTTGTACGAGGCAACTTTGCATCGAGTCATCAATAATTCACCAAAATATCGAGTTTGCGTGGCTTATTTCTACGAGGTTAGGATGTTTGTTTTTTTCTTCTTTTTTTTTCCATTATTTAATTAGCTTTTTCTTCTTAATTACATTGCTCAATTTTGGTGGTAATTAATTTGAAACAGCCAAATTTCGACACACTGGTGGAACCCTTGGAAATGTGCGTGGAGAAGAGTGGGGGAACGCGGCTCAAGGAAAGAGCTGTTTATGGGAAGCATTTGGTGAATAAAGTGAAATCAAACTTTGTCATGTAGATCATCAAGCTCATCTTCTGTAGACAATCTTGATGAGAATAAATGTTTCAACTGCTTTCCTATATGAATGTAAAAGGGGTTGATATCCTCTTATAATCAATAAATTTATACGTACTTTACTTTCTCAATTTCACTTTATGAATATTCATGAATATAGTGTTACTAAAATATTAGATTTCACTTCTAAACATAATATAGATTTTTAAGTTAACTAATCTCCTCAATTAGAAACCTTAAAATACATTTTAATTTTCTTAAAGTTTTATGTATGATTTATTAGTAACATTATAATTACTCTTTCAACAACTGTTTCCATAATTTTAGAAGGTAATGGATTTGTATTTGATATATTATCAGTATATAAAAATAAATAATATTTTTATTTTAGATTTTGGCATTTAGATCATTGAATCTTGATCGTCCAAAGTTGATTTATAGTAAGGTGAGAAAAACAAATAATAAATAAAAGGAAAATACAAAAGTTTGTGCAAAGTTGGATTTTTACCGCCGCCAACTTTACTGCCAAAACAGGTGAAAAGGGTTAAACCTTAATGATTAAAAAGTTGAAGCTAACCTGTCACGTCCGTAGTCGACCCATTGGAGCAAAAGCAAAGTGGATAAAGCCAAAAAATGATATCAGCATCCTCATCTTTTTATGTACCAAATTGATATAAAAATAAAATTTTAATTCACAATAATATTAATCGAATCTTTGTCAAGATTATTCATCGCTCTTAGCGAAGTCAGTTTTGGGTTTTTGTCGTACCTTGAAACTGAGTGAAACTGTGAGAGACAGACAATCAGACAAAGAGAGAAGAAGTGAAGTACAGAACATCATCAACTCCATCCATGGCCACAGACTTCAAATCCATCCCGATTATTGGTAATTAATTATATATCCCATGATTTTCTTTTTCCCAAAAGTTATCTATATTTTTTATTAAATCATAGGATTCGATTGCTTGCTCGTTGTTCAATTAAGGTAAGTTTTACCTCCAGAAACAGTTGGTTTACTTTTATCTATGTTATATTTTAAGTTCAAGTCCTAAGGTCGATTGAAATCCAAATCAGCATTTTGAATGTGGAATCTGGGTATCAACCAAAAGAAAGAAGGTTGATTAATTTATGGCAAAAGCATAAGGAAAATGAAACAGTGTAATATATTAATCTAAAGACTGCAGCTGCACATAAACTTATAAGTTTGAAAATCTTAAGCTTGTTGAATTGTGATTAGTTTTGGATTCATATTTTCATCGTTTTTTTTTTTTTAAAAAAAAATTGTGATATAGATATTGCTCCTCTGTTGGCGAAGTGGGATGATCCAAAAATGGCTCAAGACCCTGGTGTATGTGAAGTTGTTAAGCAATTGGATCAGGCTTGCAGAGAGGCTGGGTTCTTCTATGTCGTAAAACATTCACTTCTGGCTTGTGATTGAATTTATCTCTTCTTCCAAACTCAAATGGAATGTTTCATTAGTTTTTCACTAATATCAATTAAAGTTTCTATATATCTTGGGGATAGCCTGTTCAAACTCTAAAACTATAGCCTTCTGACTTCTGTCAGAGTATGTCAATCATATTTTATTAGATTCAAATGAAGAATGAACCTGTGGATGGCTTTAGCCTGCTTTCGTGTTTTTTGCTCAATATCCAGTCAACTAAACACTACAAATTTATTTTTTCCTTTCTTTTTTTTTTCTTACACTGACTAGTCACCGGATTTTTTTCCCCATTTGTATGCTTCCTGATTTGGCAGAAGGGCCATGGTATCCCTGAGACTTTGGTGAAAGAGGTTAGAAATATAACACACAAATTCTTTGATCTCCCGTATGAAGAAAAACTCAAGATCAAGATGACTGCAGCTGCTGGATACAGGTTTTTTCAATGAAGTAGCATCTATATGTAAATATTAGTGGTTTAAAATTTGTCACTATGGTATATAAATGTTGTTGACCACTTTTGCTTATATTTTAACGCAGGGGATACCAGAGAGTAGGAGAAAACATAACCAAAGGCGTGCCTGATATGCATGAAGCTATTGATGTGGGTGTTGCTTAGCCACTTTATGTTCCACCAGTCATTTACATTGAATTGCTGTCTATATAGCTAGGATTGTGACTGATATTATCTCCTTATTGCGAGGTGGCAGATGCTGCAAAAAATTGCAGTGAAAAATTTTCATGTGTTTTGTTTAATCTAAAGAATGACAATAATGTATACGGACCTCTGACATAGAAGTTCTCTGCTGGTGCTATGTAGCTAATATTAGTAAATCATCTCATAACAAATTTTTAGAGATATCAAACCATCCTATAGAATAGATTCTTCAGAAAGTTCCGATAGGTTCTTTACATGAACTATCTCAGGGGCAGTCCTGAAACGGAGGTTTTTCTGAAGTGTGTTGTATTATTTCTGAAGTGTCAGGAAATTATTCTCTCATAAGTAGCACATAAATGCAGCTGCTGTATCATCCAGTTCTTATATTAGTACTTATTTGTATGCTATTTTGGGTGACAGTGCTATAAAGAACTAAAACAAGGGATGTATGGAGCTCTTGGCAAACCCATGGAAGGATGCAATCAATGGTAAGTGAAAAGAACTAGTGGTTTCTCAACTGTTTCCATTATCCAAATTTTCTCATGCAGTATTGGCAGTAATTATCATCAAATGATACGGAGATTGATAAAACTTTGAAGGACCTTAGGCAATCTTAAAGGTGAAATTTTTTTCATAGGACCTAGTATTTTCTAGGGCTAGTTGCTCCTGATGAATCTGCCATGCAGAATTAATTAATAAATGGCCCTAAGCAATTGCAAATAGGTTATATATCTGTCTCAGAATGATAAGTGATTTGCCAAGTTCTTGGGAATAATGGTACTTTAATTTTGCGCATGCAGTAGTTGGTCTGAAAGTTTGGAGGTTCAGTTTTGGAGTTGATGTTTCCTTTTAGATGTTTAAGTTACTGACTGGATGCTAGATGGTTCTGGTAATAATGAGGTTGCTCTGTCTCTTCATCTTGAAATGTATTTGACAGGCCACATAATCCTCCAAACTTCAAAGAACTGATGGAGAGTTACATCAGCCTCTGCACAGGCATGCTTGTCTTGTTGCAAGTATTTGTGTTCTTTGTCTTTCATAAGTTTACTTGGTAGGAAATTCATGACAAATTTTGGTTTATTGGTGCTTTCAGACCTTTCAAGAAAAATTATGCGAGGAATCGCTTTAGCATTGGGTGGATTACCGGATGAATTTGAAGGTGAAAGGGGTGGAGATGCGTTTTGGGTGATGCGTCTTATTGGCTACCCAGGGGTATCAACAGCAAATGGGAAATGCACGCCAGAGAATGACATTGGATGGTAATGGAATATAAATGATTGTGGTTTTGCCTTGCCTTTATTGGCCTTTAAATATGTCCTTACTACCTCTCATTCGCTTCTGCCCATGTCTTCTGGCGAAACAATTCAGCGGAGCACACACTGACTATGGTAAAACTCTTTAACTTAAGATAACAAGTTACGAAAAAGATTTAAAAAACCATTCTCAGATTTTAATGTTCGCAACAGGTTTATTAACATTGGTTAATCAAGATGAAGATATTACTGCACTTCAGGTATGGTTCTAGTTCCCAGTTTTAAGGAAATAACAGAACTAATCTATTGTAGCTAATTCTCTTGATTGAAAGTGAATTAACTAGTTAATCGAATATCCTATTTAACCTTTTTTTTCACTTCTTTTAGCCAGCAAAACATGTCTTCTTTTGTCATTCTGAAGATCACACCAGCTATTATTAGTAATTTTATCTTGTGTGGAGAGGAAAAAGTTGCTACTTGATGGAAACATCGCTTGCTTGTTTTTTCTCCTTTGTTGCTTTGTTAACCAAATCAGATTCCAATTGCTTGTAGTGGGGGTTTTCCCCTTCTTTCTCCTGATCTAACAGTATATATTGGATGGTTTCACATTGTTAACGGGCTTCTGGTTTGTGCCTAAGTCTGTCTTTGTATGTACTGCTGTTTGAAATCTTGACTGCTTTATTTTTCCACAATAGTTAAACTAAAAAGGTTGTATAGGTCAGAAACCTATCTGGTGAGTGGATCTCGGCTCCTCCAATTCCCGGAACATTTGTCTGTAACATCGGTGATATGTTGAAGGTACATCGGCTCCATGCCAAAAGTGGATTCAAATCTTAATATTTCGGTCGTATCTATTATGTCATCCTTACAAGTTTGGAGGTGGTGCAGATACTGTCCAATGGTTTATGCGAGTCAACTCTACATCGAGTCATCAACAATTCCCTGACATACCGAGTCTGCGTTGCCTTTTTTTATGAGGTTGAACGTTTACTCAAATTGGCTCCTTTTTTTTCTTTTTTTTGTTGGCTTTCTTGAATAATGATTCACCATAAATGGTCCTTAACTGAATATTCTTGTTTCTGCAAAACAGCCGAATTATGATGCAGCAGTGGAGCCTTTGGAAGTCTGTGTACGGAGGAGTGGCGGAACTCGGAGGTTTGAAAAAGCTGTTTATGGAGAGCATTTAGTTAGCAAAGTTCAAACAAACTTTGTAATGTAGTTAGGAGGTTTCGTTTTCGGTCCAAACTTTTCAAAGTCTCACTGTACATTGACTAAGAATTGTTTCAAGTTGCATTGATGAAGGCTGAGATGAAAATAATTCCTCAAAACTGTTCAGAGTCGATTGAGGAAATAAATAATATGCCTTTCAACGACAGAAAACTGAGACTATTGTTTGCAACAAATAGATTTCTTAGGAATTTCAGGCCATCTACTAAATTGTAGTTTTGTCATCATTTCAAACACAGATTTTGTGGTATCGAGATGTTCATTTTAACATGAGCAGAGTGCAAGAGACCACCAGAACAGCCAAACAACAAAATTATCGTGTACAACAGCAAATGGAAACAAACGTCTTTGGTGCTCTAGCAAAAAACCAATGCCTTCAAAACAAGGTTTATCCCACTGAAGGGAAGATTATAATACAACAAGGGTAAATTAATAATCTAGTACAAAAAATTGTTAGGGCATTCCTTCTTTTAGCTTGAGAGCCCTCCTGCTTCACTCGTCAGTAGCTATAATTCTAACTCAACCATTTTAGGTTGAGAACTATAAATTGTTGTTTGAATTAAGAAAGAATAACAAATCAAATTGTAGAGTCAGCAGTAAACCTGACAGCTGAATCTGATTTTCCCCATATTCTAGACACCTATGCACCTACAACTCAATTTAACTCGGATCAGGCCAATCAACTAGCCACATCCTCAGCTGAGCTTCTGGCTGCAGATGCATCCTTTTGATAGAGTGGAATTCTTACACCCAACTCACGTAACTGATCCACCAGATTGTAAAGAAATTCAAATGTTAGCCTGGACTGTGAATTTAGGTCCTCTCTAACGCGTGGCTGAATCCGAAACCAGTCTCCTAGCATTTTGTGCACATGAGATCGGATCATCCGCCATGGGACAGGGTATCTTTCACAGAGCTTCAAATACTCCACAAGCAGTTCTGCCTGGTCTAGTTTTCCAGCTATATTGTCTTTTTCATTATCCCCCACCCAGTCAGCAGTTTGAAATCCAGCAAAAAGAGCAGGATTCTCAAGAACAGACTCAGCCGAAAGCACACCATCAGCACCTGTCTCTTCCAGACAGTTCTGAACATCCTCCATATGCCTAATGTTCCCATTGGCAAGAACAGGGATTCTAAGCGCATTTTTAACAGCCTTAATGGCATTCCAATCAGCTCGAAACTTCTTCCCATCTTTCTCATCTCTTGTTCGGCCATGAACAGCCAAAAGAGAGCAACCAGCGTCCTCCAGCATCTTTGCATACTTGATAGTGTCCTGTAAATTAGGAAATACTCTGATTTTGCAAGAAACCGGCACATTAAGATTCAAAGCCAGTTTTTCTACTAAAGATTTCACAAGAGGAAGGTTATCCATCAAGAAAGCTCCATAATACCCTCGCCTAGCAATTCGCTGAGGACACCTACAAATAAACCACATGGCCATTTATAGAGCAAGCTAACACTTTCAACTAAGGCTCTATTTCATAATTACTCTTGTAATTTGCTTTTTCACTTCCTTAAATGGCAAAAGCTCAGATGATAGATAATTAAAAATGACAATTTAGTTAAAACAAAGCATCAATTCAAAGAAGGGTATTTGTTGTAGAAGTAAAATCATGCATTTTGTTGTTCAAATTCTAACTTATAATCTTTCAAAGATACTATTTGCTTCTATATCCAAAAATACTTTTTGAAGCAAATAATAAGGTAGCCAAGGTAACAACAAACGGATTGCGTTATCATTAAGAAGTTAATAATGCTTTTCAAAAAAAAATTAAGAAGTTAATAACATTCAAATGAACTCAAAACAAAATGTTTACCCCAAATTAATGTCGACATAATCACAATAAGGTTCAACTCTCCTTGCAGCTTCAAGTAAAACATCTGGATCATTAGCACAAAATTGGACAAATAATGGACGGTCCTCCTGCAATTATCAATTCAACAAAGATGAGAAAAAAAGCCCCGAAATCTTTTTATGAGAAAAAACAATTATCAATAAAAAGAATGTACCTTGCAAGTGGTAAATTCTTCATTACGATACTTTTCATTCTCAGTAAAAATACGTGAATGCAACATGGGCGTATACGCAGCCTCTGCTCCGAATTTCCTACAGAGCATCCGAAACGGCAGCTCGGAGTTGTCAACCATCGGAGCCACGATTAACTTGGGCCGGCCAAGCTTGGCCCAATGAGCCCATGCCCTCTCCACTCGTGATTCCCCGCTTAAGTACCTCCCCGGAGACCCTATCGACGACGGCGTGTCATCACCTTGAGAAGGAGACTGTTCCTCTTGGTTCTGTTGTGGATTGGAGCAAAGGAGGGCATCGTCGTCGTTGCTGTTGTCATTTTGAGGTGGATCCGAGGGGATAGTTCGGATTTGGGTTCGGGCCATAAGGAAGATGGGGTTGGAGAAGAGAGGTTTTTGGTAGAAACTTAAGAGCGGAAAAAGGTGGGGTTTGGGGTGTTTCATGGGCGGGCGATGGAGATGGAGAGGGAATCCATCGCCGCCAACGCCAAGGGATTGTTTGGAGTGGCACAGAAGGCTAAAGGCTTGAAGCTGAAGGATTTGTGATATTGGATCTTTGGGTTTTGGGCTTTAAGGTTGGGTTTTGGGCTTGGAAAGTGTTCAGTCTATGAATTTATTTGGGTCAAAGAATAGATCAAAGCGGCCCAAATCTACGAATCTTTCCGTAAAAATGGAAAATGAGAGGTTGGGTAAAATAACATGATTTTGTTAAATTAGATTTGATAATGACTTTAAATTTCATAACTTGTTTCTTAAGTAATGTGCCATTCCTATTCTTGTTATTTTTTGAGAGTAAGATTATAAAACTAAATTTCACTAATTTTAGGGGGTTTTCTTTCTTTTCATACAAATATCTATAATAAAGCCGAAATTTATACTTGCTTAAACTTGAAAATAAAATATTATAACATGAAAATTTTGGAAAGAAAAATATCTATGTATAACATTATTTCTATCATTTATCCATTAATCTCTTTTTTTTTTGTTTATACCCAAATATAAAATATGACATGGCATGTTGATTGGATAAAATATAACATGGCATATTGATTAGACACAACAGTGGTTAATGATGTAAAATTTCTTGTAATATGAAATGCTACATCAACACCCGTGATAAAGATTAATGACATGGCGCGCTTATATTAACATCTCATTCTTTATATCAACAAAACACATCATAGTCCACTTATATAAGAAATAACATTTACAATATCCATTATATTTTCATTACGAAATAAAAATTCAATTAAATAAACTAAAAAAATTAAAGACTCCGCTGAGAACAAATAAAAATAGGAAGATTCAATTTCCTCTAAAAAACAACGTATACAATTCAAAGGTTTTTTTAATTATTATCCAAGCCTTTGTATTATCACTCACCGACACAACAAATGTTCATATCACTTTCGTTCAAATTCTGATACATCAAGGTATTTTGAAATATTAGGCGGAAATTAGTTCCAGTCCTTGTACAATGTTCTTGACCCGTTCATTTACCTTGTATGAAGGCGAACATAAGCAGGAAAATGGTTTCCGTGCTGCCGTGAAATGCAAATAAATTAATTCCCACGTCTTATCCAAGGCCCAAATCGTGCGTGCACAGAAGAAAGCATGTAAACAGGAAGATTGAAAAATCTGTGTTGTTTAGGGTTGTAGCTTATGTTTCCTTCGTCGTTTCAACATCTCATGAACAGGAAACAATGCAATTCGAATCCATTCTGTTCACACAATCTTTTCAATTGTTTTCAAACTAGCTACATGGCAAGTGTGGAAACCACTTTCCATAAAAGAAAATAATAAGGAAATTGCAAAGAGACAAAGCCGAATGAATTGACAAAGGAAGGTGGGTCAAGATAGGCTTTGAAGAAAAGAAGACATTCCGTCCAAAGAATTTACACTTAATTTACAGCTACTATTGATAAAAAAAAAAAACAGTGCTTTATTTCCTTGTAGTTGAAGTTTTCAATGGCTACAGAAAGAGGTAGAATGATAAAAAAAAATGCCAATTTTTTTTAATATCTATTTATTTAATTATGCAAGTGTTTAACTTAATAATGTATGTATGTATGTATCTTTGTCTAAAGAATTAAGATCCAAATCTCCCATTTTTCAAGTAAAAAACAAATATTAAGTAGATTTATGAATGAATTGGATAGAAGGTAAGGTTTAGGCGTAGAGGAAATTGCTAGGAAAATGTTTAGGATTCTTCTCAAACAGGTACAAAAGATGGATCTTACGTATTTAATCATTTGGTACAAATAATTGAAAGAGTCAAACAATCCCAGTAGTGGCAAACTGGTGTTTTGTCTTGTTCCCCTTTTGTGAAGTAAGGGGAGAGGGGTGTTGGGGCTGGACAAGTGGTCATGCATATTTTCAAATGGTGGTATCCACATGTGACTTGTCAATGACAAAAAATCGGTAATAATGAAGGACTAATGGGACCATTCTCACTTTAGAAGGTTGACGTTGAGGAAAGGCAAAGCAAGCAAAGAACAAATTTGTGAACAAAAAATGTAGGGCCCCCGGCCTTAAAGCCAGAAACATATCAATTCTCCACCCACCCATTTTGACTTTGCCCAGTTCCTTTTCTCATTAGAGTGACCTTCAAGCTCTTCTAGACCAACCATCCTTGTCTCAGTTTTCTCTAAATGTAGCCAACCTTTTTCCCACAATCCAAACAAACCCACCATAAATAATGCATGTTAGAAACTCAGACTCTACTCTTTTCATCGATACCCAACACCAACCTGTAGTTAATTAAGCCGTCCCAACTGGCAACTGCCAACCTCTTTGTTATAGTCAACCGTCCCCAACACGACATATTGGTCCACATCTTTCCATTTGTTTGACTGAGTCCCTTTCTTTTACTTTCTTTTTTGCCTTTATTACTATTTAAATCAAGAAATTTGCTTCACTGATGTAAGGGTAAGCAGTAGGCAAGGCATCCAGAAACAAGTGAGCCAAAGAAAAAGATAAAGCAAACAAATAATAAAACAAAAGATAGCATGGATTGACATTGGACCGCACTTTCTTTCTTGGATAACTGTTAAATCTAATACCAAATCCACCATGTTCCCTTTCTTTTTC